ATTTTGACCTTTTCCTTCTTTCTTGTCCTCTTAATGACTTTTTGCTTTCTTCCTCTATGATGTTCTTGATGTCATTCCACAACTCTTCTGGTCTTTGGTCTTTAGTGTTTAATGTATCAAATCTGTTCTTCAGATATCATTTCCTCAGATGATCTCTAAATTCAGGTGGGATATATTCAATGTCATATTTTGGCTCTCATGGACTTGTTTTCATTTTCTTCAATTTCTCCCTGAACTTGCACATGAGCAATTGATAGTCTGTTCCACAATCTGCCCCTGGCTTTGTTTTGACTGATGATATAGAGCTTTTCCATCGTCTCTTTCCACAGATGTAGTCAATTTGTTTTCTGTGTATTCCATCTGGTGAGGTCCATTTGTATATTTGTCTCTTATGCTGTCTAAAGAAGGTATTTGAAATGAACAAATCATTGGTTTTGCAGAATTTTATCATGCGTTCTCCAGCATCATTTCTATCACCAAGGCCATATTTTAAAACTACTGATCCTTTCTCTTTGTTTCCAACCTTTGCATTCCAATCACCAATAGTGATCAATACATCTTAATTGCATGTTTGATCAATTTCAGAGCGAAGAAGTTGGTAGAATTCTTTTATTTATTCTCACTGAATTTAGTGGTTGGTGTGTAAATTTGAATAATAGTGGTATTAACAGGTCTTCCCTGTTTGCACATGGATATTATCCTTTCACAGATAATGTTGAACCTCATGACTGATCTGGATATGTTCCTTTTGACAATGAATGCAACACCATTCCTCTTCAATTTGTCATCACCGGCATAGTAAACCATGTGGTTGTCAGATTCAAAATGGCCAATATCAGTCCATTTCAGCTCACTAATGCCTCAGATGTCTATGTTTATGCATTCCAGTTCATTATTTACAATTTTCCCAGATTCATACTTTGCACATTCCATGTTCCAATTTTCAATGGATATTTACAGCTATTTCTCCTCATTTTGAGTTGTGCCCCATCAGCAAATTAAGGTCCCGAGGGCTTTACTCTTCCATGCTTTACTTCATTCGCGTCATCACGGTCAGCTCTACTTTGAGGAGGCAGCTCTCCCTGAGTTGCATTTGAGTGCCTTCCAACCTGAGGAGCTCATTTTCCGGCACTATATCTGACAGTGTTTCTCTGCTATTTATAAGGTTTTCAATGAATAAATATTCGGAAGTAGTTCATTACTCTTTCTTCCTAGTCTGTCTTCATCTGGAAGCTCAGCTGAAATCTGTCCACCATGTGTGACCCTGTTGGTATTTAAAATACTGGTGGCATAGCTTCCAGAATCACAGTAACTCACAAGCCACCACAGTATGACAAACTGACAGCCGAGTGGTGGGGTCCCTCCTGATAATATGTGCTAAGTATGAGAGATGAAATCTGGCAATCTTGACTTCCAAGGAACATTCTGGTTGTAATTCTTCCAACACAGAGTTGTTGGTTCTTCTGACAGTCCATGGTTCCTAAAATTCTTCTCCAATACCATAACTCAAATGCATCAGCTTTACTGTCTTCCTTATTCATTGTCTATCTTTTACATATATGTGAGGCTAATGAGAATGCCTTGGCTTTGTTCAGACACATTTAATCTTCAAACTGACATCTTTGCTCTTGAACACTTTGAAGAGGTTGACAGTAAGGTAGGGGAGGAAAAAATCTGTTCCATGAAGATGACAACCTTGGAAACCCTGTGGGGCAGTTTTACTGTGTCCTGTAGGGTCGCTATGAGTCAGAATCAACTCGATGGAACCCAGCAATAACGTGTCAAGGGTTTTATATGCCTTAGTGCAAATTACAGGACACACATGAGCGATCCAGTACCTCTCAATACATAGTTGTTGGGTGGATAAGTGAGGTACCTTTAATCTTCATAAAACTCTGTGAAGTATTTAGTATCCTGTTTCCCAGGGAGAAAAGGAGGTTCTATATCAGCCAGAGGGACCCTGGCTGCTGCAAACAGTTTACACATGTGACTTCTAGCTGAAAGGTTGGAGGTTCGAGTCCACCTAGAGGTAATGCTTAACCATGTGTGCCTCCCAGGGACTCCAGCATTTCAGACATAGGACGTGTCTGATTTTCTGGGTCACAGATTAAGGAAGAATTTAAGATCTTTGTCTTGTTCAATTCTACTCTGACACACATGGGGTTGCCATGAGTTGGGATTGACTGAATGTGATCGCAACAAGTCTTGCTCTGACCCTCTGGCTGCAGGTGGAAGAAAGTGGCATGATGGCCTTTGGGTTCCAACCCAAGACCAGTTGTTACGGAGTTGATACCAACTCATGGCAACCCCATGTGTATCAGAACTGAGCTCCATAGGATTTTCAGTGGTCTGGTGGTCTACTTTAGTGAGATTGTTGTTGTTGTTGATAGTTGCTGTCAAGTTGATGCAGACTCATGACAACTCTTAGTGTGCAGAGTAGAATTGTGCCCCATAGAGTTTCCAAGGCTGTGACCTTGAAACAGATCGCCAGTCTTGTCTCTGTGGTACCTACCTCTGGGTGAGTTCAAATTGCCAACCTTTCGGCTTACCTTGGCACCACCTAAGGACATCTTCCATAAAGGTTCCAAAGCCAGTGTTGTCAAGTTGATTCCAACTCATAGAGACCCAATTGCTGTAGGATAAGCACGAGACCACAAGGTTGATTTGAACCAGTTCAAACTCACTGGCCACTCCTCTGAAATGTTATACAGGGTCTCTATGAATTGGACCCGACTCGACAGCATTTAACAACAACAACAACAATAACATAGGGTTTCCTAGGCTGTAATTTTTGCAGACGCAGACTGGAATGTTTTTCTTTCTCAGAGCAGCTGGTGGATTCCAATCTTTTGGTTAGCAGCCAACTGCTTTAACCACTGCTCCACCAGGGCTGAGAAACCATATGGAGCACAGTTCGACTCTGACACACATAGGGTCCCCATGAGGCAGAAGTGATTTAGTGGCAACAGGGGGAGATTTTCCTTAGTCTTTGAACAGGCTGGACCATAAATCTAGGTCCCTTGACTCAAAACTGGGAGATATTCTTTTTACTACCTTGCGCTGCCTCCCGCCTCCGTCAGTTGTCACTGAGCTTGTTTAACTGTAGACTCAAAGATGGAAATGTGTCTCTGCTCAGAGCCGATACCCCACTAAACCAAACCCAAATCAACCCCATTGCCATTACATCTATTCTGATGCACAGTGAACCTATATAACAGCAGAACTGTGGCATAGGGTTCCTGAGGCTATCAACCTGTATAGGAGCAGGCTGCCCCATCTGTACCTGGTGGGTTTGAACTGCCAACCTTTCGGTTAGCAATCTAATGCTTAACCCACTGCACCATCTATGACTCACCAAAAGCAAAGCAAAAGAAAAAGCAAACCTACTGCCCTCAAGTCGATTTTAACTCATAACGACCCTGTTAGGACAGAGTGGAACTGCTCCTTAGGGTTTCTAACATGGGACCTGAGAGCCTCATCTTTTTCTTAGGAGTGGCTTGGTGGGTTTGAACCACTGACCTTGAGATTAGTAGCCCAACACTCTGACGCTAGGGCTCCTCATGGCTCACACTCTGTTCAGTTCCACTCACTGTCATCGACTTGGTTCCAACTCCTAGACACCCTCTATAGGGTTCCCAAGGCTGTCAGTCTTGATTGGGAACAGAGGGCCTCATTTTTCTCCTGCAAGGTGACTGGTGTGTTTGAACTGCCAACCCTGTCTATCTTATAGTCTAGTGCCTATCCTGTAACTCCACCAGGGCTCCTAATCTAAGGTTTGCCTCTTACAGTAACACCATCAAGTGTCATTGCATGCTGTCTCTGACCCTTTACTCTGGTCCATTCTGACAGGGACCCTCCGACCAGTTCGACGAAATTACTACGACCCGTCTTCGGCCCCAGGGAAGGGCGTGGTGTGGGAATGGGAGAATGATAATGGCTCGTGGACACCCTATGACATGGAAGTGGGCATCACCATTCAGCATGCCTATGAGAAGCAGCACCCTTGGATCGATCTCACCTCCATCGGCTTTAGCTACGTCATTGACTTCAACACTATGGGCCAGATCAACCGGCAGACCCAGCGCCAGCGCCGCGTCCGGCGGCGTCTTGACCTCATCTACCCTATGGTCACTGGTACCCTGCCCAAGGCTCAGTCCTGGCCGGCCAGCCCTGGGTCAGTCGTCTCGCCCCCTGCCCCGCCTTGTTCCTGCCCACAGTGTGTCCTGGTGATGAGTGTGAAGGCAGCCGTGGTCAATGGGAGCACCGGGCCCCTGCAGCCATCAGCAGCCCGCAAGAACATGCCCCCATCTGGAGCAGTCAAGCTGCCCCCACCACCAGCCTCAGGGGCCAAACCGCTGGATGGCACAGGCACCATCCGTGGCCCTGTGAAAATTGTCCCATCCCAGATGAGTCGGCGACAAGTCTCCCACACACCGGCTGGGGCAACTGCCGGCTCTCCTGCTAGCCCCCCAGGAGCCAATGGCAAGACTGGAAGAGTGGCCTTGGCGACCTTGAATCGGACCAACCTGCAGCGGCTGGCTATTGCCCAGTCTCGAGTACTGATCGCCTCTGGGTAGGTGCTTCCAGAACTGCCTTGTTTCATTGAGGACTTGTTGTTGGGTTCCTTCAAGTCTGTCCCAACTCTTGGTGAGGCCACAGGTGCAGAGTAGAATTGCTCCATAGGATTTTCAAGGCAGAAGAGCAGATCACGAGGTTTGTCTCCCAACGTGCCTCTGGGTGAACTTGAACGGCCTGTCCACCCAGTGAATCCACCATTTCAGACATGCATAGGACGTGTCTGATTGTCTGGGTCACAGATTAAGGAGCGTGGACCAGAGTTAAGGTCTTTGTCTTGTGCAGTTCTACTCTGACACACACGGGGTTGCCGTGAGTTGGGATTGACTCGATGGAATGGCAACAAGTCTTGCCCCAGTAGATGAGAAAAGCTTTGGCCTTTGGACTCCAACCCCAAACCAGTTGTTGTGGAGTTGATTCCACCACGTGGTGAGCCCATGTGCGTAAGAACTACACTCTAGAGGGTTTTCAGAAGCTGATGTTTTGGAACTAGATTGCCAGACCTTTCTTTCGAGATACTTCTGGCTGGACTTGAATCTCCAGCCTTTTAGTCAGCAGCCACCCAGAGACTCCTGGGTCTAATTGAGACTTTGCCTTTTACCAGCCATGTGATTTTTGGCAAAACCTCTAACACTAGAGAATCCTAACTCCCTCATGTGTAAAAATGTTGGCAGTAATGTGCATGTTAGGATTACCGTGAGGATTAAAGATCATGCATGTTGTTGTTGTTAAGTGCTATTGAGTGGGTTGCCCTGTATAGGGTTTCCAAGACTGTAAATCTTTGCTGTAGCAAAGATTTCATCTTTCTCCTGAAGGAGTGTCTGGTGAGCTCAAACCACTGACCTTGTAGCTTGTAGTCCAGTGCTTATCCTGCAGATCCTCTGAGCTCAGATTATGCATACTAAGTAACAATCCCAAACCAAACATGTTGTCATCGGATTCTAACGCATAGCAACTCTATACTTGTTATGTGCTGTGGAGTCGGTTCCGACTCATAGCGACCCTGTACAGGGTTTCCAAGGCTGTAAATCTTTACAGGAGCAGAAAGCCTCATCTTTCTTCCGCGGAACAGCTGGCAGTTTCGAACTGCTGACCTTGAGGTTCGCAGCCTGATTCATAACCACTACGCTACCAGAGCTCCTTAGCAACTATATAGCTAGACTGAAAATCTTTACAGTAGCGGATGGCTTCATCTTTCTCCCTGGGAATGGTGGGTTTGAACAATTAACTTCGTGATTAGCACTGCAACGTCTGACTCACAGCACCACTAGACTTCTTATACTAAGTGATAATGCTGTCGGTGGTGGTAAGGGCCGTGGTGAGTCAATTCTGAGTTCTGGTGACTCTACACAGGGTTTCCAAGGAGCAGCAGGTGGGTTTGAACTGCTGACTTTGCAGTTAGCAGTTCATTGTTTATCCTACAGCTACAGATGTTTGTTGTTAAGTGCTATTGAGTCGGTTCTGACTCACAGAGACCCTGTAGAGGGTTTTGAAGGAGCAACTGGTGGGTTTGAACTGTCAACCTTTCTGTTAGCAGTCCAGTATTTGTCTTACCATGCCATACAAGGACAGTCCCACCCATTTGTTGTTAAGTGCTGTCGAGTCAGTTCTGACCCATAGTGGCCCTGTATAGGGTTTTCCGAGGAGCAGCTGGTGAGTTTGAACCGCCAATCTTGCAGTTCAAATGGCTTTGCAGTCTGGTGCATTAACTCACAATGCCACATCAGGACTCCTAGTTTCACACATAGGTGAGGTTAATTGAGTTCTCCTTATGTTCTATTCCCTGGACTTTGTCTCCTTATTTAATCCTTAGGACATCTCTATGAAATAGGCGTTATTATCCCATTTTACAGATGAAGAAAATAGAGGTTTACTTGCTCAAAAGCGCATAGCTGAATTCTGGGAAGACTAGGATTTGAACATTAGGAAGCTGTTCCGCGGGAGAAAGATGAGGCTTTCTGCTCCCGTTAAGATTTACAACCTCGGAAACCCTGTACAGGGTTGCTATGAGTCAGAACCGACTCCATGGCACACAACAGCAACAACAACAACTCTATGTTTAACCCAGATTCCTGACTTGGCCATGCTGCTTCCCCATGGAGCTCATCACACAGTGCCCAGAGCTCTAAACAGAGATAAACAAAACCACAGAAAAAAACAGTACCATCCAGCCAGTTCCCACTCATGGCAACTTCATGTGTGCAGAGTAGAACTGCTCTGTCAGGTTTTCAGGGCTGTGATCTCTTAGAAGGAGATCACCAGGCATTTCTTCCACAGAGCCATTGGATGAGTTCCAATCACCAACTGCTAGGCTAGTAGTTGAGCGTATCACCATTTGCACATGGGACCCCACTGAACATGCATGCCCCAAACAAATCTAACCCATTGCTAATGAGTCGATTCTGACTTCCAGCAATCCTACATAGGGTTTCCAAGACTGTAAATCCTTAGGGAGCAGATAGCCTCCCCTGCTTCCCTGGAGGGACTTACCAGCCCCACATCTAAGCCACAGTGCTGCCAGAGCTGTCTCCACTGAGCATACTTGTTGTTGTGAAGTGTCATTGAGTCTTTCTGATCTAAAGTGACCTTGTATAGGGTTTCCAAGGGGTAGCTGGTGAGGTTGAATTTGCAATTTACAGCAATTTTGTAGTCCAGCATATTAACCCACAATGCCACATCAGGACTCCATTGAGCATACAGTAGGTGCCAAATGATGGCTGTTTCTCTTCCTGTGGCCTCTCCTCTGGAAGCTGAAGGGGACTTCGGATAGGAACAAGAGCCGCCATTTAGTGGGCACTCACGGTGTGCTTTGGACATGCCGTGCATGGTCTCAGATCCATGCCTATGACTGCCAGTGACCAGCTGCCATTGAGCTGATTTCAGCTCGTGGTGAACCCATGTTTGTCAGAGTGGAGCTGTGCTGTCATAGGTCCTGCTATGATTGTAGTTTGTGGTCTTCCTGACCATAACATGGGATCAGCCAGGCCCATGCCATACATGCCGGTCTCTCCTGGCTTCCTTTTCTCTCCAGGACCCTGGCTCTGCCTTTGGCACCTGCGCCCATGTGGGCAGGATAGTTTTAGAGACAGGGTGGGCACCTGGCTGCCCAGAGCAGGCAGTCAGGACACCAGGCTGGCTCTCAGCATGCAGAGGTTCAGAGCTGGGAGCTGAGGAGAAGAATGGGGGACTGCAGCGTGGGAGGCCTCCAGACCCACTTCCTCTCTGGTCTATGCCACTCGGGTAAGCCAGAGTCTTTGCATTTCCAGTTTCCTCCTGTGTGACGACGGGCTCATTTTACTTGGTTAACTCACCCTGGAGCGTCACTATGAAAACCTCACTGTGGGAATTCACCCCTTGGCTAGCTGTGTTGGCAGCCTCAGCCCACCACCTGGCCCTGTGATGTCAGTTTTACGTGGGGGCTCTTAAACTCAGAATTAACTTCCCAGGGAAGACCACACAGCTTGTGTGTGACACAGTGGGATGGAAACCCAGGATTTGGTCTCTTGTCTGCCGCTGTTTTAGCCAAAGCCTAACTAACTCTTCCTCCCATGTGCAGGCAGAACTCAGAGATACAATAGGTTTGGTCCCAGTCCTCGGCACTGAAGTGAATATTGCATTCAAGAGAGCTGCACCACGATTTTGGTTTCCCAGTGCTTATAAAAGTTATGTTTACACCTAGAGCAGTCGATTAAGTGTGCAATAGTATTATGAAAAAGTTTGAAATATTGTGAGAAACACCAAAATGGGACACAGAGACATGAAATGAACACATGATGTTGGAAAACTACTTGACGCAGGGTGGCCACCAACTTTGAATTTGTGAGAACACGCAGTAAGTCGAGGTCTGCCTGTATGTGGTAAATGCTGCTCACGTGTGTGGACTTTCAGGTCACATCTGGCGGCTGGCGGGAGTGTTGCGGGGAGGGGCAATGGGCACCTGAACTCAGCTGTGACTCAGAGCTCACACTGTCACAGAGCAGTGCCTGTCCGGACGGGGATGAAGGAACTGCAGCCAGACCCTGGCTGTGCCATGCCACCTGGGTACGGTTTGACACCTTTGTTCTCAGTTTCCTCATCTACAAAGTGAGGTGGTGAGAACCTTCTCACTGTAGGGGTGTTGTGAGGATTCAGTAAGACATTCGGTGTCTAGATTGAGTGCAGCACTTGGGAGCTCTGGTAGCGTAGTGGTTACGAATCGGGCTTGCGAACCTTAAGGTCAGCAGAAACTACCAGCTGTTCCGTGGGAGAAAGATGAGGCTTCTGAAAGATTTACAGCCTTGGAAACCCTGTACAGGGTCGCTATGAGTCAGAACCGACTCCATGGCACATAACCACAACCATCCCACCACTACCACTGGTTCCCTTTGGACCGATTCTGACTCACAGCGCCCCCCATGGGTGTGAGTGGAACTGTGCCCCCTAGAGTTTTCAGGAGCTTATATTTCGCAGGTAGATCACCAGACAGGCCTCATCTTTGGAGACACCTCTGGGCAGACTCAAACCTCCAGTCTTTCCATTTGTATCATGTAAGGACTCAGTCAATATCAACTACTATTATTACTATCATTATCATTGTTGTTATGTGCCATTGAGTTGATTCTGATCTATAGCAACTCTCCATAGGGTTTCTGAAGAGTAGCTGGTGAGCTTGAACCGCTGACCTTGAGGTTCAAAGTGAATTTGTACTCTAGTGCATTAACCCACAGCGCCACACTGGGACTCCATTATTATCATTAACAAGTGTCTATTGATGGAAGCCTTGTACTGAAGTCAGAGCACCCTACCTCATTTCAGGTGCCCTCAACAAATGCCAAGTGACCTCTGTTAGAATGCAGGGAGAGGCTCCTCAGATGACTTTGAATCTCCCTGAGGGAACCGGCAACTCTGTTTTTCCTTTTTGTCCTGGCTGCCGCCAGCCTAGTGACACTGGAACTGGAGAATGGGGTCTAGGTCTGGACAGTGTCCTTTCTGAGGGGCTATAGAAACAAGTTGTTTTTC